GGTGTGTGTTGTGGGGTGGGGGGTGCAGGGGGTAGGAGGCAGCAATTTGTGCTTTAAACTAGCTCTCGACCAAGTAGATTATGAAAATGGTCAATCAGCTATTAATAATCCAAGGCTGAGGTTTTTTTTCCTCTGTTTTTCTCTCACGTACATGTAAAAAGTTTACCCTGCCTAAATAATCTCTCCCCAAAATCATCCTATTGATTTATAGAAATTGAAAGGAACCAAAATTTGGCATTGTTCCAAGCAGCAGTATTCTAGAGCCCTTTCTCCTGTGTTTCTGATTCTAAGTGACCCTGTGACCTTGGACTCATCAGCCCAGCAGTAACATGCCAGTAGCCTTATTAGCAGTTCATATTTAAGTATAACTACTTCCAAATAACTATAGGGTAGAATGTTCAATGTCACATTCTACCCTATAGTTTTAGAACTCATGAGAAATTCTCCAGAGAAATGGTAAAGTTAGTCTGAGGGATAATATTAGCATACGGTATTCAATCATGGTTTGATTATGTTTCTTTCCCCAACAAGCAAGATGAGCAATGAGTTAAAACTGGAGGCACTTTTAAAAAGAAGAAGAAAGAAGAAAGAAGAAGAAAAGAAGAAGAAGAAAGAAGAGGAAGAAGAACAAGAACAAGAAGATGAAGAAGGAGGAGGAAGAGGAGGAGGAGGAGGAGAAGGAGAAAAAGAAAGAAATTCAATTCCTTTTCCCCAGTTAAACAAAAACTCTAGGTTTTATACTCCTATGACCTAGATATAGTCAAAGAAATCATAAAGAATGTTCCTGGGGAGAAAGAGACCTCGACTCAGCTGTTCAGCCAACTTTTCAGCTTAGAAAACGTCTTTACAGGGGAATATTGAAACAGACACAAACAGAGGTTTATGGGATAAAAAAAAAAAGTGAAAGATCTTAAACAGAGTTAAACTCAGTGCAGGGGAGCTATAACCACATTACCTTGGTTTCCCATTACTTGCTCATAATAACTTATAACCCAAGCCCTTCCCTTAACTCCAGTGTTCAGGAGGAAATATCACTTTTCGGAGAAGGAAAAAATCAAACACATTTTCCTGGATAGTCAATGAGAGGTGATGGAGAGAGAGAGGTGAAGGAAAGTAGAGTCAGAAGGATCATAGGGCTTTTTAATTGTTTGACCCAATGTAATAAAAACCTCCATAATCCAGGGATGCAAGGTATGAAACGAAGACTTGGTTGTGCTGGGCTGAATTCTGTAAATACCTTCACTATGAAGACAGCATGTTTTCAACTCCAGCTTGCAAACTGTATTAAATAATGAATGGTGTAAATTAGAGTGCCTTATTTATAAACAAGTCCAGTGTGGCTTATGTAACCACACTCAAAACTTACTCTGTGGTTCTTAAATGCATATAAAGCACAATTCAAACTTCTAGAACACCCAATAGATGGGCTTAGAAGTAAACATCAGAGTAATAAAAAATGATACTTTTCACTGAATCCTTATAAATGCCAGAACTGTTTTTTTTTTTTATTTCAGTACAATTAATTGCAATGGAAAAGCTTACTAAAATCCAAAATCAATGTATTAATGACATAACATTACAGCTGCTTAACCAAGCCAACAATAAATTGCACATAGACACTCTGGCAGCAGAAGTTGCAAATTCTATTTATGTTGCATCAAGAGGAAAAATATTAGACTTGTCTCCAAATATTTCCCCCAAATCAGAGAATATCACACAAGAAACTCAGGAAAAAAGGTCATCACTGGTCTTCATAAAATATGAACAATATAAAAATTCATGCTCTTTTACAAAAATGTGAATATACTAACACTACTGAATGGTACTATATAAAATGATTACAATGGTAAGTTTTATGTTATTTGTAGATCTTAAGTTTTATGTTTTTGACCACAATAAAAATAAAAAAAAAATACATGACCTATTTTAACAATGCCTTTTCCCATTTATGTGAGAAAGAACTATCTTTTGCAATGCATTTTGGCACTTGATAAAACTGAGACTTAAATGGCCAGTTACATAATTCCAACAACAAGCTTTACTCCTGAATTCCACTTATATGTGACAATGGTATCGTTTTAAAATTGAATTTAGCACAGCTTTGGTATAACTACTTCCAAATAACAAAAGCTGGCACTTATCATCAGTGTGATGATGGGCAGGTGTGATGTATGTCTGCAGACGGATATAGATCTAGATGAAGACCATGTTAGTGGGTAAAGAGTATGAGATAGATACTGTGATGAGAAGATTTTTAATAAAATAGGTTCAAATAGTGACTGAAAATAAAATATCAGCTTAAAATAACCATGTATAAACAAAAAGAAAAAGAAAAATCTTATCTCCCAATTAAATATGCATATATTTTTGAAATGTTCTACCCATGGCCCTTCCCTGAATTCTAAAAGGCACAGCAATTATATTTTTCCCCAACATATAGATATTAAAACATATGCTGTTTGAAAATGATATAGTAAACTGTTGTCTCAGCAAGTTCTAATCAGTTTATTTAGTTTCATTATTCCTTTAAAAAAAAAAAAAATAGAAACATGCAAGTTCAACTAAATACCATTAAACCAGAACTTTAAAACAAGTTATTTTAGGAATACCATTGGGTCCAATAACAAAGTAAAGAAGTGTGTAACTTGTTTCCAACTGTAGCTGGTACCCAATGGCCAAGAATTTAAAAGCTGTTCAAGTAAATACTAAAATGTAAGAAAAAATGCACAGATGGTATCATACAAGGATGAGAATGAAACGAGCTCACCCACTGATGTGATTTTGATATCAAAACAGCAGGATTCAAAATAATTATATTAAGTGCTTTCTAAACAAGGATTTTGACACGTTTTGCAGATAAAGACACCTTGGACACAAACCGGCGGGGCTCAGTCAAAGCTGAGAGACAGAGTAGAGAAGCATACTTCTCAGAGCTCACATCTACCAGCCTAATTGCCCATCCTGAACACTTATTCATACACATTCTCAGCTTAATCAATAAATTTTCAAATCAAAAGGAAAGAATGTAAGAGTAGAAATTTGGAGAGCCAGTATTGAATGAAAAACTGTTGCCAAATACTTTGGTAAATATGACCAAAAATTCCATTTTTTAAATGCCTGTAAACAGGCATCGGCCATCAGATAGAAAATAAACAATAGCAATTGTGAGAGCTGATATAAGAAAGCTCTGCTCAAATCTACTGATTTCATATAAATCAGACAGCTAAGACCACTAAAATTTAAAATAATATTTCTTAATTTAAAAAGTTTTATTTTTCTCTGATTATGGTCTTAAAAATATTAAAGTGAAAAAAATGTTAAAGTGAAAATGATTATCCCTATTTCATTTCCTCCTGTCACCTCTACGGAATTTAAAAACAACAACAAAACAGTATCTAACTGTATAAAGGCACTCCCCATAGTCTCAAAATAGTCCGAAGAGCTCAAAATTCCATATGGCTTTCTCCATCTGACTACTGACACATTATCTTATGAAAAAGAGACATAGATCCTGACAAAAGGCCACAGACACTATGACCAGCCTACAAGCCTGGACCAGCTCAGCCGAGGGTCATGACAGTTGGGGCCCTACCCACCCTTCCACTCCAGCCCGCTCCAGCCCAGCCTGCTGCTATCCTTGCCAAAAAGATTTAGATTGGAGCATCCCGGATCCAGCCTGACAGTTGGCTGTTCCCGGCACATCTCAACACTGCTAGGCCTGCACGTTTCCCCTGTTTTGTTGTTACTCCCTTCTGCCTGAGCCTTATAACATGAGCATTACCAGCAGAACAAACATTAGAGCCTAGGAAGATTTCTTACTTACATGAAAAAACAGGTTATCTCAGTCAACTACGTTGGCAGAAATGGGGCGTGCGTTTTCCGTGGTGGGGGAAAAAATGCATGCGCACTCTCCAACCGGAAGGCCATAGCCCAAGCCCTACTTTCGGGGCTGCCTATCTTAGCATCAAACACTTTAAGAAAACCCGGGAGGAACTCTGCCTTACAACCCCTCTACGTGGATGAATAAATTCTCACGTTAATAAAATGTATAAAATGTCAAAGTCTCTAGGAGATTGGGGGAGGGGGGAACCTCTAATAGAGGTGACAAGAGAATACTGGAGAAAGGACTGGTAAATTCCTACTTGGTAACGTTATTTGTCACAGGCATCAGAAGAGGACAACAGAAACGCACAATTCTGCTTCTCCATCAGATCAAGACAAACTCAAACATTTCCAGGGACATAGGGGTCCCATGCGGAAGGCAGCATTCATCCCAATACTACACACTGCTTTATCATCCAACCTGGTCCTGGGAAATTATTCAATGGGCAATTAAGATTTATAATTCAAATGGTCTAAAAATTATATCTCTGGAAAGTCAAGTCCAAATTAGATCAGACCAAGCTTTTAGGCTTCTAACGATCACATTTTCTCTTTTGAGTGAGTGCATTTCAACACTCAGAACTTATCCTCTTACAGATCATTTTCAAGGCCATCTCTGGATGCAATCTTCTAAGCAAAATATGAATATATAAAATGAAAAGGGAAATCGGTGAACACCAAACCTCAGAGAAAGATGTTAAGGGGGAGACTCTAATCTCCTTCCACAGATTTCAAAAAGTTAGTTATCTTAACCTCTTTTCTAGTAAATATTACTGGAACTTCTCCTAACACAACATACACATTGCACCTTATGAAACAAAAATGTCCAAAACTAAGTTATTGTAACAGGGCTTTGAAATATAAAGTACATATGGAATGCCTTCTGACAGGAATATATATAAATATATATTTAAAACTTATTTTAAACTTCTCCCCACATTAGCAGCCCCAAGCCAGTGAAACAGACAGGTGACTGACAGATGACCCAGCCCCACATCTCTCGTCTCAGCTTTCTCCCCAGACTTGAGACAACCTTCATGCCCAGGACGGATCCGCCTGGTCAGCCCCTGCCCTAGGGGCCAGGAGAGAAGGAAGGAGGAAAATCACCAGGAACTCACATTTCGGTGATGTTCTCAGGGTCTGCACTGTTAGGCTCCAACCTCGGAAATGCAACGATGCCGGGAGTAGGGTCGCTGCACCAGATCCGAGAAGCGCTGCATTTGCAGGACGTGGGACAGGCGAGAGCGGCCCTCCAGAAGCCCACGACCAGCCAGCAGAAGCCCCAGAGCCGCACCATGGCGGGTCCATGCCACTTCGTCCAGGACGACATCCCTAGCCGCCAGTGCCAGCCCGAGTCAGACTAAGTACGTGTCCCTGGGCTGCCACCAGCCAGCTTCCCCTGCCCGTGCTGGGCAGTCTTTGCCGCGCTCGCAGCTCTATTCGGTGCTGGTCGCGGGCGCTCAGAACCGAGTACGTCCGGGACTGAGCGTGTCCTGGTGGGCAGCACCGTTCACAGTGGCCGGGGCATCTCAGACTGCCTCAGAGGGGCGCTACCGGCACTGGGAACTCCGCCGCGGCCGCCGCTGCATGGCCCGGCGCGCCGAGCACCGGCCCGCGGCGCTACCGGGATACTCTGGGGCGCAGGCTCCTTGCTAGACGCGCACTGGGATTCGGGACGCACCTCGAGGCTGAGGACAAACAGACACGCGTAAGACTCAGCGCAGGATCCCAAACACCATGAATTGGGGCACTCTCCCTCCGCGCTCGCGTCACCCCCACCCCGGCCCCAGCCGGGAGACTGTGGATGGATGAGTGCCCAGCTCCCATCCCAGAAATAAACTTGCCCCTCGATGGCACTGACGCCGCCGAGGCCGCCAGTATGCCCACCCTCTTTCCAAGCCTGATGTCGAGAGAGGGATGATAGGGCAAGGGTCCCCAAGACAGGATTCCATGGCACAGGCCAGGCGAAGGACCCTTTAAAAGGGACGAGGAGACTGCTGGCGGCGACAGCTCTGCGACGGGCCCACCGAATGATGCTGCAGAATCCGCCACGGCCGCTGGGCGCAGGAGGTGCGGGCAGGTGGCGCGGCGCGTCCCACCTGGGGAGCCGCCGAGGCCGCCCAGTGGGAACAGTAAGGGCCGAGACGACGGAGGGCACTGTTTGTGCTGCTCACCCGGGCTCCGGCGCCTACCGCTTGCCGGCGGCGCCTGGGTCCAGGCTCCTCCTGCCTCTGAGCACTGAGCGCGGAGAGCGCGAGCGAAAGAGCGAGCGAGGCTCCTGTTCCAACCCAATTCCGGGAGCCGCCGCCGCCGCCGCCGCCTCTGCTACTGCTGGCGAAGTGACGTGAGGGCTGACGCAGAGCAGGGGCAGAAACTCCAGAAAATTAGTCTGAAATCCAAAAACACACACGCTCATACACACACAAACCCATAACACCCTCCAGACAAAAGCAACAGGGAGGGGAGGGGAATCTGGGGGCGAGCGGGGAGGAGGGAGGCATCTGTGCCACTGGCCAGAAGCAGACAGCAGCAGCATGTGGGAGTTCACACACGCACACACACGCACACATCCTGGCCGTATAGACGCGCGCGCGCGCACGTGTGTGTGTGTGTGTGTGTGTGTGTGTATTTAGATCCAGGTACCTCTGAGATGGACCGTTCTGCTGCTCGACGCCTCCCAGTCCCTAATTCACACCGCGGTCTCTTCTACAATCACAGCAGAGGCTGTCTCCTTTTTTTGAAATGGAAATCCGGCTGGGTTCAGTTCTGAAAAATGCGCTGATTCTTATTATAGGAATCCTCCCTCCCTTCTCCCTCCCCGCTGCGTTCTCCTTTCCCATCCTGCCTAAAAGGGAGGGCGAGCTATACTAAAATTAAATAAATATTGTAAACACCAAAACATGTTCAGCATCGGTAACCAAGAATAACCGCCCCCATTCCAGGCCATCTATTTGGGGAACCATGGTTTTGCGGGTCTTCCTGTTGATGCTTTTGCAGAGGAAGGTGAATCTCCAAATTCAACTCTAGCTGTCTAAGTGGGTCTTTCTCCTGCCGTTTTTCTGGCATCACACGCCCGGGAAATAGAGACATGTGAGGGGAAGGGAGCGCGCCTAACGCCTATTGGGTTCCCTAAATGCGCGGCAGCAACCCTGGCCTGTCCGATGTGTGGCGCCGCGTCATTTTATCTCATCCGTCAACCTGGCAAGATGAAGCCATTCTCAGATCGTAGCTTCACTCCCAGAGATGCCCACCCCCACACGGGGCACCCAGAGCCCTTGCTCCCCTGCCGTACCTTGCGCGTTTTCGTGTGTGCGCGGGTGTGCGCGAACGCGTGCCCCGCGCTCGCGCTGCCCGGAGGACGACAAGCATCCAGCTACCGAGAAGCCCAGCACGGGCAGAGCCTCAGAGTCTCATTAGGGACAAACGAGGCGATCCGGGAGGGTCGGGTGACAAACCGTAACTGCTCTGCGGGCGCAGTTAAATGATGGCTGCGGAGCACTCGCAAGCCTTGTCTGAGAATCCGTCTTCCCATTTGCGGCTCGGAGAATCTGTTTTTCCGCAGTCATTTAAAAGAGAACTGGGAAAATGCACCGCAGTGCCTGACACTTCCGAGGGCTCTGGTGCCCCCGCGCGGGGAGAGAGCTCCCCGCACTCTAAAAAGCACCAACCCAAGGCCGCGGCGGTGGCGGGCACTGCGCGGGGAGCGCGCTCTGGCGCCAGATGCGCAACCAGCGGCTCCCGACGCGTGCGCGCCCCTTCCCCGCCGGCGCGCGGCTCGCTGGACTTCGCCGAGATACTGCCCGAGAAAAATGCGAGCAGCTCTCCGCTCCAGAAAGGGCGACCGGATGGGATCTCTTCCAGAGGATAAGAATAGTCTACCCATCTGCCTGCGGAAGCAGGGATGGAAAGGATCGAGGAACCCGAACGTCCAGGTGAATGCTTAGATCTCGGCGACGTTTTAAATACATTACAAGGAAACGGAAAACATCGAGTGAGGCTTTTGTACAAACCCAGGGCGCTCAGTGTAACCGCAGGAATCCTTGCGCAGCGTCCAAAAAATCTCGCTGCAGGGTCGCAAGACAAGGCCAGCAGGTCTGCCTCTCTCCACCACCACTCGGCTGTGACACGCATTGGGTGCTGAAAGGCCAGGCTGAAGTTCATTTCTCTGCTGGGCTGTCAGCCCCTGCTGGGTGAGGACATGCCAAGGAAGAGAAGCAAAGGGCAAAATGTCTTGGTCCAGGTCACACAGTAACACTCTTCTGCCTGTCTTGCCAGGGTCCTCAATGAAGCTGCCCCTGCGTGACACCCGAGGGACAAGTATACATAATTACCCACATCTCTCTCCCACCCTATCCTCACCCCTTTTTTTCCCCTCATAAATGGCTGATTTGAGCCCTAGTGGTTGCAAAGTGTCAATGCAGCATCCAAAGGATACAGTTTTGGAGTGACTTGCAGACCAGAAGATTCTAATTATGTTGGAATATTTTTAGAATTTGTATTATTATAGACATATACTATTATATTTAAATTCTAAATATACCTCAGTAAATGTCTCCCACTTAAAATTTAAACTGGCAGCCCCACTTCCAATCATCCTTCCCCTGCTCTGTTCCATATTACCATTTTTTTAAAAAAATCATTTACTTACTATGTTTACTGCTTATTGTATTTCTCCCAGTAGAATGTAAACTCCATGAAGGCGTGGATATTTATTTTGTTCACTGATATATCTTAAGAACATAGTAGTTATGTTCTTAACACATAAAATATCTACGTATATGTGTTTAATGAAAAAAGTGAAATAAACTAGCATTGAGATTCCTCAAGCAGACCATCTGCGCTCTCACTTTCTTAACCTCCAACCCTGCAAGTCTGTCTGAATGGTTCCCCCTAGACAGTCTCCCTCACATCTCCGCCATCTCTGAATCCTCCCTGTGTTAAGAGTTCTGGCACAGGGAAGATTCCTAACGCCTTCCTTTTGCCTCCTCTTGTAGCCAGATATGTTCTAGCATGGTAATGCTAGTAACGCAGCATTACCATGCACAGTGTCTGAAACACACTGGGCAATCAATAACTATTTATTAACTGATAAAAATATGTATCAGTCTCAACTTTAAGAACTACAAAGGGTTTTCACAGAGATTTCCAGGATTCGCAGATCATAGCTTTGTAGGAGATGATAAACAATTTTCAGAAAGACAAAATGAAGTAGAGATAATTTTCCACAGATCGTATGAATGCTTCAAGGCAGAGATGGAGACTAAGTGTTGCAGACTCCTGCCTGTACTGGATGGTGCTGTACCTAGTACAGTGTTTTTTAAACTATTCTCACCATGATCCGCGGTATAAAATGTGTTTTATATCACAATCCAATGCACACATACATATACGTAGATAACTTAAAAAGTTTCACAAAACAAAACTTATTTACCCTTACTACATAGAATACTCATTTTTATTTTCTATTTTATACCACTTTATTTTTTAATCATTATCACCCAATAAACTGATTTTAATATTGAATAGTGGGTTGTACAAAAAAATATTGCCAGCTTCTGCTTCTGACTAAGATGGAATATTAGGAAACGGATTTAACCTCCCAACCAAATCATCAACACACTGATCAAAACATATGAAACAACAATTTTCAAGACAGCGGACTTAGACAATGAAGGCTGTGACCCAAAGAGAAGGAACCCAGGCCGAGCCCAATTCCCTGTGTTGAGGAGATGTAGCTGAGAGCCGGCGAAAAAGAAGGAGGGCAGAGCACACGAGGACGAAGTAGCAGGAAAGAGAATAATGTACAGAGAGACAACTCTGGAGTTCCACAGAGGGCTCCTCTCAAGTATTCAGCAGATTACCGATTAGCACATATTCTATAATGTTCTAATTTTAGACGGACATACTATGTAATAGCTTTTACATTTTTAAAAAAGTTTGTGGAAACCATCACTTAAAAGAAAAAAGAGATAGCGGCCCACACTTTAAAAGCCTAAATGTCCACTAATAGTAGAATGACTCAATAAATTATGATATTTCCATTTTTTTAATAATATTATACACCTAATTAAAATAAGTTATAACCATATAACTTATTTTATATGGTTATATGGTTATATAACCATGGAGGCATGTCCATGGTATAATAAGTGAATGCAAGTTATATGACAATAGGTAGCCTGATCTTACAAAGAAAGCCAATATTTGTGAATATGTTTTGTTGGTGAATGCATATGGAGAAATGCAGAGACGAATATATACCAAATGTGTCATCGGTAACCTAAAGGGATCTGAGAGGTTGTTTACACAAAGAGGAGGACAGACCAGAAAACTTGTGAAATGTTTCTTTGGCACTAGTAACCTCCTTATTCATGACATGCCTTCTTTTTTCACCCTTTTCTCTTTTTGTTGCCTCTTATCCTCTCAGACGCAGTGTTATCCTGTTTCTGGAGACTCTCCCTTCGGGGGGAAGCACAAAATCTAAAGGCACGCTTACAATCTACATAATGTTCACCACTGGGTGCTTCACTTTCCCAAGAATATCTTTACATTAATGGAGGACACTGGAGAGAACACAGACTCCAAAGGAATCTCAGGTACCATGGCATCCATAAATGGGGCAGTATTAGAGAATGGAGGACCCTTGAAACAGGCAACAATGGAACCAGAGGCGGCTATTCATAATTAGCCCCTCATTTACTCTCTCTCAGCCCAACCTACTCTTTTGTTGCCCAGAAAGTTTCTGTCTCCTACCTCACACCCTCCAGCCTTGAGTTAAGGTCTCACTTTTCCTGCTTCTGCCCAGATGGTCTATGAACTACATGCTGCTCTGTCACTGTGAACTATGGCTACGCCCATGGCCTCATCTCACTTCCTTTCTTCCCTGTGTCCAAACCTTCCACTTTTAACTCTTAGTCATACACTTAGCACATACTAAGTCACCACAGACTTCTGGAGCTTTTATGAACACCTAAAAAGAAGCGCATATGGAGAGAATTCGACAGAGCCAGGAAATCAGAGTCACACATAACTAGGTGACCCTGAAATCTAGATTTGAACCATCTATCTGACAAGGTCTCATGGTAAACACTGGATTGTCTTCCTAATCTATGTCAATAGTCATATCAATACTCATACTTGCCCCTGTATCCTCTTTTTTTATCAAGAGCTATCTTATCACACCATCAAATCACTTTTTTTTACGAGGGATTTTACTTATTCCTCAATAAACAATTATGATATATCTAGACTTATTGGGGCAGTCAAGTGTTCTGGTTCCAAGTCAAGTGACAATTACAATTAATGAAAAGAACAGTGTTTATGGCCATGTTACCCTTAGAGTTAAAACCCTACAAGCATTCGATCATATCAGACTTCCACAGGTAATTAACTAAATGTTCTTCCAATAGGGGTAGCAACCCATTATCAAGTAAGTCAGTTTGGTGGGTTGTGATCAGGATATTTCCACTGAAATAGAATAGACTGTACCAGAATAGAAAACATCACACATGTAAAGGTAATAAGGTTTCATAAAACTTTTCACTGGATTGCATTGTAAATATATTTCTTACTATGATTCTCAATCAAGCAAGTTTGAGATGCACTAGCAGAAAACAATGTCTCAGTCATTTGCAGAAATCCCCTCTATAAAGGGATACAATGCCAAGTCAGCTTGCACACTTCCAGCAACCCTTCTAATCAAGACGTTAGCAATAAGCAAGCACTTTATAGATTATACTAAAGTTAGTCATATAATTATCAACTCTTTGAAGGCAGGAATTCTCTTATTTGTATCGTAACCTTGACATCTAACAGAGTATCTTACATGGAGTTCAATATATGTTGCTTGAATTAAAGTTAATCTCACTTTTGAACACCTTTAATTGCTAGTAAGTTTCGCTTTTATAATAAGCCCAAATCTGCCTCCCTAATAATTTTTATTCATTGCTCCTAGTTTTAACCTCTTAGCTGAAAAGGAAAAAATAATGAAATCCTTTCTCCATGTCACATTCCTTTCAATATTCAAATATAGTGCACATGTCCTTTCTAAACATTTCCAGATCCTTTATCCAATCTTGGCTACCTATTTCAGGAATTTCATCTTCAAGGTTGAGATTTTCGAGGTCCACGGTTTTAACCAATGGCATTTAAACCTATGCTGTCCAATATGGAAGGCAATAGCCTGTGTGGCTGAGTACTTAGAATGTGGCCAGTTCAAAACAAGATAATAAACACTTCGTGTAAAAACATAGTAAACAATAACAACAACAACAGAGAATATCTGAATAATTTTTATATTGATTTTGTGTTGAAATTATAATACTTCGTATTTATTAGGTTAAATAAAATATATCATTAAAATTAAATTCATCTATTTCTTTTTACTCTTTTTAGTGTGGAAAATTTTATTTACTTGTGTTTTAGAAAGTTATTAACATTTATTCTTCCTAAAAACTCTACTGGTGTTATTTTTTAATTAATGACTCATATCTCTGAGTCTTCTGCATAATCTTTTAAAATCTTGAATCTAAAGAAATGAATGCAATATTTTTTTTAATCCAACATTTTAACTGTTCCTCCTATATTTTTCACC